GCCCGCCCCAGGGGGGTCCCCCGGCCCCTCGACGGAGGCTCCCGCGCCGGGGGACCGCCGGACGCCGGAGGACGACAGGGTACGGGAATCCGCAGCTGGGACCAGCCTTTCGGGGCTTTGCACAGGTAGGCAGGGCACCGGCAGTGCCGGCCAGGCACCCCAAGAAGACGTTTCACAAGCCGGAGGGGGCGAGCCCCCGGATGCGGGCACAAAGCAATATGGCAGCTCACGCACTTACTCCCCGACTAGCACTTTGGCCGCCGCGGCGGCCGCACAGACAGCAGACAGAGGCCCCGGGGCAACGAGCCCTGGGGTGCCCCCGGCAAGCCAGCCGGCCAGCTCCACCCCCAGGACCCCCCAGCTCTCTGGGGAAGAAGGGCCCCCCGCGGGGCGGCACAGGAGGCGTGGCCCGGAGCTTGCCGGAGGAAGTACTGCCGGGTCAGCCCAGAACAAGGACGGCAAACCAGGAAGCACTTAACAGTCTCCGCCCCCCGATTCCGTGTAGGGGATCAGTACAGCTTTTTGCTTTTCTTTTTTTTTTTTTTAGAATTTTGTTGGTTTGTATGTTTTTGTTTTATACAAATTCCAACAATATTGTTTACTCGTTTGTTCTTTTTTCTGCGGTGGCCTACTTAGGATTATAATAAGATGCACCTTTTGTCTCTCTATCTATGCCTATTTGTCTATCATCTGTCTTTGTACCTATTTATCAATCTTGCTATCTATTTAAATATATATACATATATAAATATATTTGTAAATGACCAAAATCAATATGGAAAACAATAATAATTCCTACTCTGTTTGTCCCTTGTCCAGTATTAATCAAATGTACAGTTTCTTGTGCCTTTTCTGTATGAGATTTGTTGCTTGAAATGTAGACAAGAAAAAATGTTTAAAGGCTGTGAATTTTTTTTAGAATTTTTGTGTATGGGACAGGGAGGGGTGAGAGCCAAGTAATGGCTGATTCCTTTTTTCTGGACATTTATTGAGCAGTCGTGGTCAGGGTTTTAAGGGCAGTGAGTAGGGTAAGGAGGGTAAATGAAGAAAAGCTGAAAGCTTTGCAAAGATAATGCACTGAAGTAATATTTTTTATATTAATAAAACTTAGATCTTACGTCTGTGTACAGAAAGAAGTCTATGGTCCGTATTTATTGCCGTATTTAACTTTATTAAATTGCTTCTTTTATTTTTTTTCTTTTCTAAAACATGCTGTTATCTATGTCACTTACCTGTGTGTCTTCTTTTTGATAACGTTCTTATGACTTGAAATTGAGGTACTGGGAAAAAAAAACAGTCATTTGCCTGCAGATTTGTTGCAGAGCCCATTTCTAGTTTCTAAACCAATAAAACTGCACCAGACTTTGCTGAAGTGTCGTGCTTGTCCTGTTATCACATTCAAATACATGTTTAATTCTTTCAGGTCCCTTCCAGATTAAGGTTTCAAATGATGCTTTGAATGGATGGTTCTCTAGTCTCTCCTGCAACAGATGTTAAAATGTTGATAATTTTATTCCAGCAACAAAACAAAACATTTGTTTGAGCACACGGCAGTGAGGACATGTTAATTTATATAGCAAATTCAGCATTTTATGGCTTTTATTTAAATAGTCCTAAGGCAATAATATTCTTAATAATATAAAACATTTAAAGTTTTTTAAGAAATTGTACGCACTGTGCTATTTTTAAACATTTTATTTTATTTTATTTGTGGATCGGTACAAACTACCTGTAGGTTGTGTTGACTACACACATTATTTGAATTATATTGAATACTGTAGGCTTTATCTTTTAGAATAACTATTGTAAAGTGTAATATATTGTGTTATTTGTCTGCGGTGACTTCGAAAGGGTTTATGATAAGTGCGTACTGTAATGTTTAGGGCTGTATGGAGTTGCTCTTACTAATTTTGTGTTTCTTAAAGGGAAAAAGTGCTCAACTTTTTCCTCTTAAAACTATAGATGTGTGGGTGTGTACAGTATATGTATGTGGGTGTATGTATGTATTAATTAGAATCATACACGTATGTATCTGTATGTATATACCAATCACAAGCACACTTGTGTGTGTCTGAACTGTACGTACATATACTGTATAATACACATACAGTATATAGCTATGTATGTGTATATATACTATATACTATATGTATATGTATGTATAGATGTGTATAGAGCATGTGTGTACATATTTTCTACACCTTTAAAAATAATAGAACATTTTGTGTGGACCAAAAACATTGAAACATTATATTTTTGTGTTTCATTGTTTTTTTCATTTTATTTTCATACATTTCAACTACATCATTTAACTCTGAGTACATCATAAAAATACTGTATAATTTGAGATACGTCTTGAATGTCAGAAGTCTCAAAAGTTTTTTTTTTCTCATTATATTTAGAAATGTTAACGGTTCCATTAGGAGCAGATGAGAGTGTCATCCTGCAGAAACAATGCTTCATAGTGATTTGAATGCTCTCACCTTTTAGCCTTGGCCTTGCCATCTTGGAAATGAATTAGGTAGACCAAAGTATATCATATATACAGAGCTGGTTTTTACAACAGGATTGTAATTCTAGCCTTTATGCATTTCAGTTTTTATTATGAAATGTTATCTCAAATGAAGTCTCATCCAGACAAAAAACTCTCCTCACAGCACATTATAACAGCTTTTTTTCCCTTAAGTGTTAAGGCTAGTTGCTAAGCGACCAAACACACTTGTGTTCCTGGCAGGAGCCGGGTAACATAATTTCTCAATGAATCCCAACAGGTTATAACACTAACATTGGCTCTCTGCATGATGTAGTGTTACATTGGCCTGAATTTGAATTATGACATGGGTTCATCATAGGGGAAATGGTTACCAAAATCACAACCGCACAAGTTATGTTGCAGCACCAAATCCTTCCAAACTCTTCTCTGTTTATTGGTGCTGTGTCTGTCTCCACACTTGGGTGTCAGCGGCATTTGCCAAGAAGCTGAATTAAACTCCAGTTAATCTAGTGACCAGATTGGTGTCATGATCGTGAGAAAGCTGTCCCGCCTGTTCGTTCTTTTTTGTTTAATCCGTAATGAACCATTAGTCAAATTTTTACCATTAAGGTTCAGAGTTTCCAGCGGTTGATCAGCTCGGCTTATGTCCTGAACAGAGAGAATAAGCAAGGCAACTTCCATGTGTTGCTCTGACAAAACCAATGCTTTTTTTCACATGCTGCAGACTCCACTGTTCCTTTCAGGAGAGTTAGCCCTGATGTGAAGGGCACAACATGTCTTGCTGCTGCTACTGCAAGGTTGCCAGACCTCAATGCAGTGGTTCCCAGCCCTGGTCGTGGTCCTGGTCCTGTTGACCCACACTACTGTTGTTTGTTTGTTCCAGCCGAGCCCGCAGGTACACAACCAAACCCTTCTTTGACTTCATAATAAGATTAATCTGAGATGTGTTCCGGCTTGAACATCTTTAACTGTTGCATTTTGTAAGTGAAGTAAAATCTCAAAAGAGAAACAAATTGCAAATATTCTAATGAAGCAACTATTTAGGTCAATCAACGATTCAATGATCTAATTAAGGTGAGATGGACTGAAAGCCAGCAGGTTTTAGGAGCCCCTGCTCTTGTGGACGCTGTTGCACGGCCTGGTGAGGAATCTCTGGTGCCCCCTGGTGGTCCAAGCCCAGCTTGACATCACTGCTTCAGAAATCCCAGGCACAGGGACATTCACGGAGATCTACGTACCTGATCCCTGAACACCTGAAGTGGCAAATCATGGGCCCTTGTCTTCTGTTCTTACAGGCTGAGGAAGTATCTGATTCTTCATCTTCGAGCCCAGGTAAATTTGCATCCTCTTTGCATGGTTTCATCATATAGCCTAAATCCACATTTTGCATGGCCTTCGTCTCAGATCTGAAATGTGGACGAAGAAGAAGAGTTTTGTCAAATACGCATTGTGCTTTTGAAGAGCTCAGTCTAATCTCTTTTTATTTATTTGATTGGACCCAACGTAACCAAACCTTTGAAACGCGTCTTTTCAGAATGCTCCTGTTGAGGGCCTCCAGCACTCTCAAAATAGTTGACGGATATTAAAAATAAATGGACTCCATTGAAGTACTTTACTTTATAAAGTGACTGAAGCGATTCGCCAACCTCTCTGGAGTTAACCACCTATCTTTTCTGGAGCTGCTATCAGTGTCAGTCTTCATCTGTGGCTTCTTACTTTGCAGCCTCAAGTGAAGAGGCAGAAAGGTATTGCATTAGCTTTCCCCTTGAGAAGCCCCAGATGATGATGATGATGATGAGATAAGTTTCTGTGGAGAAAATTCTGCAGCACACCACAGGCTCCCTTTATAGAGGCCCACAGTGGGAGCAATTTAGATGGAGCTAGCTCTCACTTCTGAAAGTGATGCAGTGTAGGACAGTCTAGGGAGACTGGATGAAAACCCCTTCTGCATTCCAGACTCAAAGGCCAACTTTTCAACCTACCCTTTATCCTGTAATTTACCCAATAAATCTGCATGTGTTCTGTTTTGCTTCATTTGTTCCGGTGGTAGTCAGTAGAGTAGTAGTTCAAAGCTTGGAACAATTCATTCAAACTCTTAGATTCTAACACCTTCGAAGGAAACTCACTGATCTGTTGGACAGACTGAAATGAAGGGGGCAGAAATGCAGCCATCGTATGCAAATACACACACACACACACCTCATGGAAATGGTGTCTTGTATCTTCCTTACCCTGCAGGAAATCTGCAAATTGCACAGATATGATGTTGCACAGGCTGGGTTTCCCCCAAGCCACCGCGATAATTACTCTCAGCCGAACGTTTAGCACATTGTCTGCCCATGCATAGCAGAGGGGCTTAGCTGGAGTATCTCTAAACTCACATCAGCTTCCAGTCGAGGGCTCTCTTTCCCCTTAATTGGCTCTCCAACAGTTACCAAGATTCATCTACGATGAAAAGATTCTCTTCCATTCTTCTCTTTGCAAAATTAGAAGGCTTTGGTTTCCTTTTAATTTGCTTTTTTTTCAGGAAGATCTGATAGTGCAGCATTTGAAGGCATTTTTTTCATTACATCCTCCTTGGTTTTATACTGGTTTTCCTGTTTGAAGTCATTCTTTACCATATTTCTCAACCATTGTCATGCCTTTACCATGTTCCCTCCTTACTTTGATTTTGCTGATAATAATAATAATAATAATAATAATTCCTTGCATTTACATTATGTCTCTTGTGCCTGAAGGATCCCAAAGAACTTTACATATAGAAAGGGACCCATTTCATCTACTGCTACAGCTAAGTTTAAGACCTAAAAATGTGATGCAATTTTTTAAAATAAGTGCTCTAATTCGTACCAAGTTTCAGTGCCGTTTTGTTTGATCAGTTTGCTTCATGTAGTTTTCAGCTACGATTGTCTTGAGAATTCTATTTCAAAATGTGAATATTTATAAACCACATATTTCAAAGATGTTATTATTGTGGAGTTTGC